ATACCTTGTGTTTTGGGACTTCTCTGAGAGTGTATTTAGGTGACTTCTTTTTGAACCTTTCTTCTTTGGATTTTATGATGTTGTTGTTCTCCTACCTTGCCTACAACAGCTCTGACATAGATACAAAAAGTGAGTTTGGGGGAAGATTCCAGGGAGGGGTTGGTATTGACACAAAGAATTAGCAAAAATTCTAGCTCCCTCCATTGGGTTTGTAAGGCCAGATCATTAGAGAAAAAATGATTCAGGCAAAACAAACTGCAGCAGGAGCCCAACTGTTAGATCCTCTCCTATGGGTGTTCCCATCAGGTCTACCATGGATGCATTTTAAATACCAACTTTCCACTCTAATATTCTAGGGCATCATGTAACCAGGCCTCTTTAAGAGAAGAAATCTAAGAGGATTGTAGAAAAACACACATGGGAAGAACCTCACAATAAAAAGAAAACAAACTCTGGGAAATGTGGTTAAGAAATATCAGACTCAATTAATAATGGAGCCTTCAATGGCTTTGGAGAAATCCAATACAAACTAAATTCAAACTACATGCCAGTGCTTCCAGCCATATTTTCTTTCAATTGATGATGGTTAGAAAAAAATCTTAGGGGGGAATTATTTAAGAAAAACAAGTCTGTTTCAAAGCTACATTCATCTAGGTAAAGAAAATTCGGTATACAATATTAATTTCTGATTTTTTCTTTTAATTAAAAGCAGATTTCTTATTTCTTTTTCTTTATTGGTTCATTTGAAAAAAAAATTTTTGAGAAAAGATGGGAACTTCCAATAGGAAGGGAAGAGTTGAGATGCAGTTAAAGGAGAATGCTACCAACTGGGAAAAATATGATAATATTTTAAAAATGCAATTTTAAATCATGCATGACTTGTGTTGGAGTTCATCCCAGATAAGTATCAGTATAGTCTGGGATAATGACAAATTCTGGATTAGAGCTGTGTAAAGGTTTGAAACAGCAGTAAGCTCAAGTCTTGGGAATGCAAACTGGATGACATTTTGGAATGATCTACTATCCAAAATGAGGGAAATGAAGCTTAACCCCATATGTCGATATATTCTCATAAATATCCACCCAGAAGGGCACAACCACAGATGCATTTAGACACAGATATAGATACAGACACACACATGGACATGGACAGATAGACACCTGCTTTAGGATTTGAGAAAGTTCCTAGGTCAAAATTGTAATAGTGCAATGGTTTCTAGAAAAAAGAAAAACCATTTCCTATTCTAGCTCAGAATGTAAAAAAATGACTTTCCCATAACATTTTCTAATGGATCTTCCAGTCACACTCTCCTATGGAAGTATAATTTATGTAGTGGATGACAAGTAGAGTTTTATGATATCTGGAATTGATTTAAAATCTTTAGATTGGAAAAACCGGGATCCAATTAAAACCTTAATAAATGACTCTGTGTTGCATATAAATACATTAAATTAATGTGTGTGCAGGATGAAATTGGAAAAGTTATGAGAGTCTGCATGTTAATTCTATTTCTATCAGGGAACTAACTGTATGTTACAACTCTGAGAATTACTTGGTGAAGTGGCTGTTTACAATGCAGCAAAACTGAATTTAAATAGCAAATTTTAGCCCATGACTTGTCATAACTCATGAAGTCTCAGCCTTAAGGCATGTTGAGATCTCACTGGTGAAAGGGCATGAAGAAAGGGAAGATGGACCAATTGGAGCCTAAGGAGGCTGATGTAGTGATACTGTCAGTCCCTAAGGATCTCAGCTTGAAGGGAATCAAGGGCTGGCAGGCTACTATGCGGCAGGCTCCAGGCAGTAGGTGAGATATGGCAGTGAGAGTCTGATGGAAGGCCATTCTCATGAGCATGGTAACTGCTTGATTGTATGGGAAACCCAGATGGGATGTGCAGTGTCTTTGTTAAAATATGACCCAGGGGCTGGGGGTTGAAAAACATAGAGTGACTGTAACTATGTGTACACTTGGATAGATTGAGTATATCTATTCTCCACATACTTAAACACTTACCCTAGGTTTTGTATCCTAGTGTGTATCCTAGGGAGGATGAATACTTACCTTAGGTTTTCCTGTGACCACACTAAGACAACAGACTAAATCTGGAGGATGCCAAATGACAGACATTGGGCTCCTAACATAATGGGCACCTGAGTGTAGCAGTTTGGATGGAACATTCAAAAGTCCCTGGGTTCAAACCCCTGATCCTCCATTTGCCGGCTAGGGATGATAACATCCAAATGGATGTTGTGACTATCAAATGGGCTATTTAATTGTAGGATGCCTCCATTTTGTTATTACTAGTTTTGGAAACAGAAGCTCTTGGCTTTAAGTCACATAATTTTAGAGTTGGAAAATTATGCTACACCTATGGGCTACACTAAGCTATTCTTGTAGTTTGGCCAGTTTTAAACAAAAAAAAAATCCCGGCCAAAGGATCCTACCTTCCCACCCGCCATAAATCTGGCTGTACCTTCATTTCTTGGTAGGTTCAGAACCTGTTTTTATTTCCATCCAAAAGCTTTACTTCAGATGTTAGGAGTTGTCCATCTAAAACAGGGATTGTTTATATAGTTTTATAAAATTTCAGGTCCAGATTTATTCTAGAGTTTGTTGAGTTTGTTTTTAGATTGCTATAAATGTGCCTCTATTCCTAGCTGTATTTAGATGTAACTTGTGGGTGCTAATAAAATAAACATTTTGGGAAGAACGGTAGGAATTTTAATTGAGAAACCCAAGTAGATTGAGGGAGTTAGTAAGGCCCCTATCATGGCGTACTCAAGACACAAGATGCTAAATGGTTGCTCCATCAGTGTTCATCTTCTGAGACATTCAAGGTCAATGGCAGTCATTCAATTCCTCTTCTCCCACAAACTACTTTTAGTGGAAATTTTTATTCTTTACATGAAGAGCTACCGCTTTAAAAGATGCTTATAGTGCCAGCAATTGAGGGAAGTGCATTTAACAAACATTAGTTTAACTCTCATGAGGATAGATACCATTATGTAAGGTAAGGACCGAAAAAAGGTCAAGAAACTTGATCAAGGTTACCCAGCAGGGAAGTGCTCAGCAGGGCTGTTCACTAGAGTCTGCTATGTTACTTCCCAGATGTACAGACTTCCTGGAGGGAGAATGATGTGCTCTACCCATCCTAGCCCCTTCCCCCTGCTGCCCTGCCAGGCCCAGTCCCTCCTTCCTGGGAGCTTTGTCTCCACTTTGTTTAAGGTCCTTACCATGTTATATTATCATGTATCTCTTATCTTTCCCACTTAACTGTGAACCTGTGATTATATTAGATGTCCTGAAAATCATTCTCTAATCCCTGACAAGTTCCGTAGTATCTCAATGTATTTCCTTCAGTTAGTGGTAGCTCCATAAAAATTTGTTGAATTAATAAAGGAATTAATGAATGAAATACTGGGTTTTCCTGGTCCACTAGAGAACACGAGCTAGAGCAGCAGTTTAAAGTACACGGTCCTGATCAAGGCGTTCTTACTGACAATACTGGGTCTCCAGGGAGAGGAGGGAGGGGCTGGAGGAAGAAGTGGGAGAGCAGGACGTGTGTGGTCCCGTGTGTGGTCCCTCTGGGAGTCTGAAGAGAGGCTCTTCCCTGGGGAGCAGGCAGTTTAAGTTTCAGCCTCCACAATCTCCTTCCTGTGGTTCTTCCTGCTCTCTAAGGATTTTGAATGTTCTCATCAAGAAGATACCAAATTCCTTGAAAGCCTGGTTTCTGCCTTGTGGTTTGTAAGCCAGTCTGATGACACCACAGCCACCACCAGGCAACAGTGCTTTTCCTGACTACATGTAGGCAAACTAGACAGGGCTTCCTGCAAGTGAAACTTCTTTTGGGTAAATATTTTGGAGCTGCTTTCAAGATTTTTTTCTGACAGAACAACTGGTAAAAATCTGTGTATATACACAGAATGCTCTCTCTCTCCTTTCTTCTGCTATGCCTGTGATGTTACTTTCCTTGCAGAAAATAACTCTGCTTTTCTTAGCCGGCTCTTGCTTGGGATTCGGGCTTCCCTTGTTGATTTTCACTCCAAGAGGGCCTGCTGAGGAAGGATGAAGAGGACCCCAAACATCTTCTCCAAGGCCTCCTGCCTCTTAGGCCGAGCTGCTGTGTCACCCTTTGTTTTAGCCTCAGAGAGAGAGACTTCAGGTTTGATGGTTGAAAAGTGATCTCTCTGGATTTCTGACCTTAATAAGAAAGCTTAGATCTAACCTTGTTAAGGTTGCAACAACGTTCTTTCAAATTTCAAGCTTGTAGCAGAGAAGAGCAAAGTCCTGTGCATGTACACACATATACACTCACTTTATATACGTATACTGTACAATCAATATGTACATACACAATACAATAATACACATATATATTTGGTGTCTGTATACTGTATATTTGTGTATATACACTTTCATAAACAAGCTCGTATCGGGAAAGGGCAATACCATATATACACACACACATAATATACCATACACAGCGTAAGGTTCATTGTGCTCCTTTATCAGTGGCAAAGTACTACTTTCAGGCAAGCCCATCACACAATGTTTAAGCAGAGTAAAGGCTCTACCCTTAGATAGTCCAGGGAGCTCTTCGTTGCTACTTTTGAAGAATCCTTTGATGTGCCCAAAGTCTGTGGAGGGGCGATGCCAAACCCATTGAACTTTTTAAGAAGTGTGAAATGTCTGCAAGAAGTTCCCTGATGTGTGAGAGGAGCCCAAACCGAGAAGAAAAGGCCGCTCTCTCTCCCCAGCGGGACCCAGATCCCCGCCTGATGCTGAGCGGACTTTGCATACGTTGCACACAAAACGTTTGCAGAAAAAAGAAAAGAAGTAGCAGGCTCCGAGGGGTCGCCGCCGCCGGCGCCCGGACGGCACGTGACCCGGGGGCGGGGCCGCGCGGGCCTCGAGCCAGTGGACTGGGCCGGGGGCGGGGCCGCGGCTCGGGGGCGGGGCCTGTGGCCGCGCAGCTCGCGCCGCGGTCCCCCGATTTGGATCTGCGGGAATGTGGGCTGGAGCGGTCCTGCAGCGGTACCAGCCTTCAGCCCGCCGCCGGGACTGCCCCTGACCCAGGCGCGCCCGCTGCTCGGTGGCAGGAGGGCCGGCGGAGCGCCATGGCCTGCATCCTGAAGGTAACGACTCGGATCTGTGGCTCGGACGCGTGGTTGGCCAGCCCCTTGCTGCTCAGAGGCACGGAGTCAGCCGCGGTCCCACCGCATCCTCATCTCAGTTGTCTTTTCCTGGCATTGATTTTCTTTTTGTTCCTGTGGCAAATGCATATGGAGGGAGATTCTGAAACATGCAGCCGGCACAGCTTCTTTCCCCCCCATCCCTGCCTGCTCGCGCCTGCATGGAAGGAGCTGCAGACTGCTGGTTCCAGGGGAGAGCAGGGCTGCGAGCCGAGTAATGGGGATGGCGGGGAGAGGAGGGGTGTTCCCGCGGTCCCGCGGCTCTGAGGAGCTTGAGGCCTTTCTGGGACCACGGGGAGGAGAGGAGTGGCTAGGCGTGCGTTGTTGGAGGTAGCGGGCGGAGCGCTTTGAATGGAGGGGAGAGTGAGCAGAGGGGGCTTCCACTGAGCATTTCATCATGTGAAGACAAACTTCTGAGTTTACAGGTAGTCCCTTAGCAATGAGTTTTCTGTGGGATCTGCTGGCTCTGTGTGCCATTAGCTCTACTTTGGAAAAGTTCACAGGAGGGAGCATTTATTAGTAGAGACCCTTGGACTGTCCTTATGCTCATAAATTTAAACAGATAAAAGGATTTTATACCCTATCAAAGTCTGCTCAGCCACCCCTTGTTGAGTTTTCTTTTTCTAAGTCTATATTCTTAGCCTGGACTGACCATCTTTTTGGGTTCACAGCACTGTGGCCTCAGGTGGGAGGATTTGGTGTGAGGGCCTCACTTGAGAAGAACTTTCCATCCCACTGGGAAAGGGAGCCCCCACCTGCATTGTTGTGCACTGCTGTTTCTTTCTGCAAGTACCTAACCTGACTGCATGGATCAAAAACGTTCACAGCATGAAGGTTTCCTGGGCCTTGTCTGGAGAATGCAAAAGCCTATTAGTTCCAAGTTTGGGGGAGCTGTGTGTGACAGCGGAAAAGAACAAACAGTAAACAATTTTTTTTGTTATGTTATTGTGAAATAGCATTTGTTTATCTGTAGGATGATTTGAAGTCATCTACCTCTGTTCTAGTTACCTGAATCATCTTCCAACATGCCTTGGTGTTAATGATGCAAATAAGAGACTAAACTAGTAGAATTTGTTTTCTTTTCTTTGAGTAAAGATCAGACATTTCCTGTGACCTTTCTGAACTTCTTCTTTTTGTTTTAGAATTTTCCAGGATATACCAAAGGGTAGCAAAATCATGAGGGAATAATACACTGATATTATAATATGGAATTTTAAACCTGGAGACTCTTGCCACAAGGACTGAAATATGAACATGAGTCATCTCTACTATTTATTGTGATATTTGCTGCAGGGGAAATCGAGGAGCCTGACATTTATTGTTGGCCATCTTTTTCCCTTTGGGCTTCTCCCCTGCCTCATCCTACACATTTCAAACATCTTTAATGCACATCCCAAGCTACACATGAGTCTGATCCAATCTTTGTCTTCTGGTCCTTCACACTGACCTCAGACATTGGGGCATATCCGAGTCTTCCTTATCTTTTTTCCACTGGAACTAATCTGGGATGCAGATAGGTATACTGCAAAGAGCAAAGGCTTTGGACTGAGAAAAGACATTATTCTGGATGCTAGCTCTGCTCATTGCTATCTATTGTGACTTTGGACAAGTTACTTAAATGTCTCTGAGTCTTAGTTTCCTCAATATCAGATCAAAGTAATGGTACCTACTCCATAAGGTTGCTGTGGGGATAAAATAAGATAGAGTATGAAAAATACTTTGTGGTTCAGGCATATAATATATGCTGTTTTTTTCCTGACATATAACTGTAGTTTAGTTAATCCTTACTACATTCTCAGTCTGTTTCATATAACTCTTTTTTTTTTTTTTGAGACAGAGTCTCACTCCGTTGCCTGGGCTAGAGTGCTGTGGCGTCAGCCTAGCTCACAGCAACCTCAAACCCTGGGCTCAAGGATTCCTTCTGGCTCAGCCTCCCAAGTAGCTGGGACTATAGGCATGTGCCACCATGCCCGGCTAATGTTTTCTAATATTTTTAGTTGTCCAGCTAATTTCCTTCTATTTTTTTTTTAGTAGCGACGGGGTCTCACTCTTGCTCAGGCTGGTCTCAAACTCCTGAGCTCAAACGATCCACTTGCCTCAGCCTCCCAGAGTGCTAGGATTACAGGCGTAAGCCACTGCACCCGGGCTCATATAACTCTTTTATTCTTTTTTTATTTTTTATAAAATATTTTTTATTCTTTTGGTACTACTAAAAAGACTAAAAAAAGTGAAAAGTAAGTAACAATGTTTTAAACCCACATTTTACAGATGAGGAAGCTGAGGCTCCTGAGTTTTAGAAATTTGCCCAGGGCCACACAGGGTTAAGGCGAGTGATCCTGGATTTAGACCAAGGTCTGCCAACCTTTCTTATACTCTAAAGCTGGTCCCTGTACTTTCCCAGGTGATAACTTTCTCAGATGTCCTAATACCATTCAGGTCTTACTACCTTTGAGCACCTTTGAGAAATCACTTATTTTCTGTAGTTATGGTCTAGATGGTCTGATGGAGCAGTGGAGACTACAGGTTTTAGTCCAGAGACCTGGGTTCCATTTAAGATTGGCCTCCTGCATATGATTTTAGGCAGTCACTACAACTTGGAGGCTCAGTTTTCCCAAGTTGTAGTATGCATGTAATAATTATAATAATTGCCTTCCAGGATTGTTGTGAGGGTAAAATGATGGACTTTTTTTTTTAAGTGAAACATTTTGTGCCATATGCTGGCCCTGGACTTGGTATTGACATTGTAGGAAAGGAACAATTTTCCTCTACCCCCTTAGCTTTTGTGCCTGGGCCTGATTAATTAAACTGACAAAAGACATAATTAACAAGAGAAAAGCATACAAATTTTATTTGATGTTACTGTTTTAACATGTACCCAGAGGGCTTTATAAATGATAAAAAGACCCAAAGAAAGGAATAGGCCTGAGAGCATTTTAATAAACAAGGATAAATTGTGAAAATGTGATAAGACAAAGAAAAAAAGGAGTTTGGGATAGGGGTGGTAAATTGTGGAATAGTGACTGGGAAGTATATGGGGGAAACTTATGGAAAATTGGAGTTTTCTTGGAAGTGGATTTATCTTGGTGTTGACCATTTGTCTTTTGTGGTAAGAATGTTCTCCTTCTGGTATAAGGAAGGCACTTTTCTCATGGGAAATGTTAGGCCCTGCTTTCGGATAGAAAGGTGGAGGTCAGAAAGCCTTCCTGTATCTGCTTTCTCTCAGTTGCCTTCAGCTCAAAATAATAAATATGCCAAAGTGGCATATTTTGGGGCGGCATGTTCTCATTTCTTTCACATCACAAGACGTCTAAAACATTGACTCCATTCTCAAGTGGCTTACAGCATAGCAAGGAAGAGAGAAAAGTAAAGGAATGCTTAGGTTACAATGTGAAGAATGAAATAACATAGGTCTGTGGAAGGCACACTGGAGGCATGGAGGGAGAGAGCGATGAACCCTACCGTCAGGTAGTCCAGACAGGCTTCCTACCGGTGATACTGAAGCTGGGTTTACAAGACTGAATAGGATTTACTGTGATGAAACTTGTATTTTAGAAAAATAACTTTTAAGGCAGCATCAATTTTGTTCTGTGGGCTGAGACTTTAATCTTCTTAACAGATTTTTGAAGTAGATTTCATTATCCATTTTTACATAAGAGAAAATTGAGATAGAGAGATGTCAATGTCTCAGTGTCATTATTGCCTATGCAATAGTGACCCTAGCTAAGAGGAGAAACCCATGCTGTGGGCAGCTAATGTCAGTCTTTTAGGGAATGTGGAACTGTCCCCTCAAGGCAGTGTACATGCCAAGGCCCCTTCTGCCAATGCATGGGGCTGGTTCTCATAACAGAATGATGACTGCCTCATAATAGTTTAATTATGGAATACACACTGCACATTGCATAGGCTTTGAAGCCAGAAATAGGTGGGTTTTAATTATGGCTCCACCACTTATTAATTGTAGAACCATAAGTAAGTTTCTTGATTTCACTGCCTCAGTTTCCAAAATGGGAATGATCATACATTCCTCAATGGGTTATTCTAGAGGTTAAATGAGATTATCTGTGTATTAATTGTACTTCAGAAAAAGAAAAACTTAAAAAAAAGAGAAAAAAAAAATCTTGGTAGATTCATTTCTTGCCATACTCCTGGTTAGGCAGCTCTCCTTGGTAGCTCTGCCATTGAATGGACAATGAACTCAAGGACCAGTCTCTTTCCATCAAGTGGCTGTGATGTCTCCCAGGCCCCAGCGCCCTCTGCTAGATTCTCTGCTTTCATCTGCTTCAGTGGAGAGAGAGTGCAGGGAAGTTCTGGTGTTTAAAAACTCTTTGAAATTTGATAGATAAAAAAGATATCTAACTTGGTTGTGTATAAAGCAATGAAGAACACTAAAAATAATGATAAATGTATGAATAAATATAAGATATTTTACTCTAAAAAAAAAGGTATCTACTTTAATTTGTATTTATTGGATTGTTAGTAAGTTAAACTTTTAAATTTGTATTAGCCATTTGTTTTTCTTCTTTTGTAAATTACAAACTTTAAAATTCTATGTACTAAAACCTGTTCATATTTTCTTTTATGATTTTCTACCTCTGGTCAGAAGGTACTGTTTGAGCATAGTGTCTTCTACACTTTTGATATTGAACAAATATTCGGTGAATTATATTCAATTGTGTATCCAGTACCGAAGTGGACACTGAGTGGACATGTGGGCACAAAATACTTGTGAGTCATTTCTGCCTCGGAGAAGATTATGGCTTTGCCAGGTTGATGAGACTTATGAACATGAAGCAGTTAGATGATAACACAATGGATGCCTGACTAAGCCACAATTACCTTCTCTCCAGTGACCTGTCCTCACATATTTAGCTTGATTGATGGGAAATTAGATGAATGGTGATATCAAGTTATGAACTCGGTATCTTCTCATTTACTCTTCCTCC